ATGCTGTCGGAGTAAAGGATCGTCAACAAGGGCGTTCTAGTGCGTTGTAGATTCTTATCCAAGACTTGTATCATTTTATGATGCCATATGAATCGCTAGAAACATATGAAGTGAATGGCTTACCCCAATAACGTAAGTTTCCTAAGGGGACTAGAGCAGGCTACCATGAGACAAAAGATCTTATTTCTAAAGATATTCAGAAACTTTTATATATCCAAGGTTCTTTATTATAAAAATTTTAAAAATTTAAGAGGGTTTCCCTTCCTTTATTCGTATAATTTGAAATAACTCGACTTTTTTAGAACAGGTCCGAGTCAAATAGCAATCATTCAAAAAACTTTTTTTACACTATTTAGAGAACCCAGGATTAAATCGTATGGATATGTAAAATACAGGATTTCCCATCCTATCATAACAGTAAACAGTAAAAAAAGGGAAACGGATACTCAATTGAAAGTGAGTAAACAGAATAGATACTCAATCTGATAAATAAAATATCATAAATACGAGAGTATCATTCTGCGGAAAGCCGTATTCGATGAAAGTCGGATGTACGGCTTGGAGGGAGATCTTTCATTTATTTCGAGATCCACCCTACAATATGGGGTAAAAAAGCCAAAATAAGTGATTTTAGCTCTTATAAACAGAAAACTGATTCTTGAACCCTTTTACGCTCATGTCACGTCGAGGTACTACAAAAAAAAAAACAGCAAAAATCTGATCCAATCTATCGTAATCGATTAGTTAACATGTTGGTTAACCGTATTTTGAAACACGGAAAAAAATCATTAGCTTATCAAATTATCTATCGAGCGGTGAAAAATATTCAACAAAAAACAAAAAAAAATCCACTATCCGTTTTACGTCAAGCAATAGGTCGAGTCACTCCCGATATAACAGTCAAAGCAAGACGGGTAGGTGGATCAACTCACCAAGTTCCCGTTGAAATAGGATCCACACAAGGAAAAGCACTTGCCATTCGTTGGTTATTAGCGGCATCCCGAAAACGTCTAGGAAAAGATATGGCTTTCAAATTAAGTTCCGAATTAGTCGATGCTGCCAAAGGGAGTGGCGCTGCCGTACGCAAAAAGGAAGAGACTCATAGAATGGCAGAATCAAATAGAGCTTTTGCGCATTTTCGTTAATACATGAATAGAGTTTTAGGGTCTGGTCTGGTCTGGTCTATCCAGCTCAATTGGAAAAGAATCAAGAGAATAAGTAAAGAATCATAAGTAATAGAAATTGATTTCGCAAAATTGACACATCAATAAGGAATAAACTAAGCTCTCTCGGGGACTTTATGAAAGAGTAACCTCGCGTGAATACAATGCAATTGGCACTTTTTTTATAGGAATTGGAAGCAGTTACTAATTCATGAGCTAGGATATACAGAATGAAAACTTCAGTTTATAAAAAAGATAATACCTTGGTTATATTTCATCTCTTCAACAAGTTTAGTAATGAGCATAATGGCCTATAGTTCAGATGGAAAGATGACCCAATTCTTAGTTTTTCAAGAAATTTTCAAACAAACAAATTGAACGAAATTGAACTGTATTCATTTATCTATCCGTATAGTACATTGAATATACAGAAGCTCTAGTAAGAATGTTTTGATATGGTGCTAAGGATTTCATAATTCTATTTGTATTTGTAACTCGGGAATGTTTTCGTTTTTACTCCTACCTAGTATATGGATAGACCAATAGGGTTCTGAACTTAGAATTTGAAAAAACGTATCTAAATAAACTAATTAAACTAAATAAATGTATTGATATAGATTCCTAATCCCTCCGTTATTTCATTCCATTTAGGATTAGGAATAAAAATAAATGGAATGAGACTTTCTTTTTAAATATCTCTATTTGTTTTGTAAAGAATCGAGAAATTGGTTTGATTGTCCATTTTTTGGATATTTTTTGATATAGATAAAATATTCTTCGGATAATGAAACATAAAAGCAATTAGATGTCTAACTCGGGCTTATATGATAGCACCTATATATAGAAATAGAAATACTATAAAAAAATAAAAAATACTATGAATACTAGAACTTTGGCATCTATTCGATTCCATACATTACACTAGATAGAGATCAATACGATTCACTTTGAAGATGCCTTGATGGTGAAATGGTAGACACGCGAGACTCAAAATCTCGTGCTAAAGAGCGTGGAGGTTCGAGTCCTCTTCAAGGCATACTTGCTCCTGGAATGTGAAATTTAACAAGAAGAAGAGAGCTCGGGTCGATCAAATCTATATAGAAATACCGATTTGATCGACCCGAGCTCTTTTAAGTAATTCAGGAATTAGGCAGCGGATCGCGATCTTTCTCCTGTTAAACTCCTGTTACATGAATCCAATTTTCATTTCATCCGGGAAAAGCCATCTTTTTCTCAACAAAGTCTTTGTCATTTGATCAAATAGTGTTCCATTAGACAGGAACATATTTGATAAATAGTGATAACTCTCGGATAGAGTACTAGAACAGAAAGATTCATTATAAAATGAACCATTATTTCTAAGCCATCTCTGACGATGACTCACAAATTCGAAGTGCTTTTGTTCCTTCTTCCTTATAGTAAAATCGTTTGTTTTTTTATATCGAATTAGATGCTCCCATTGAGAAGTTGTGGGAAGTAAGAAGCGCCTTTGTCATTTCTTCATCTGCAAAAAATTCTCTACGTGAAAACAAAGAGCCCGTGGACTGGTCTTTGAATAGGAAAAAGAGTGGATCTGCAGGGTCCCAAATAAATTGGCTTATTTGAAAAAAGCCTTTGTCTTTGGAAGATTTATCTCGTGTCTTGTACTCCATCGTTCCACTTTGTAAGAACTCCGAATCATTCTCTTGAAGCTCGTTCTCTTGACCATAAAGGATCTGCTCGCTACACAGAAAATCCCAAGGACGCCATAGTCTAGGGAGCCCAAACTATGTGACTGAAAAAATCCTCCTCTTCGTAGTTTTCATATAGAAATCTCTGATCAAGAATAGAATAAGATCCATAATTTTGTTCTGAGCCCAACGGAGAGCATTCTACTTTTAATAATTCTAATAAACCATGAACTAGATCAGAATCATTCTTAATGAGTGCATAGGAAGTGATCGCATTTTTTTCATCTCGGGGGAAAGACCAAAGATCTTGAGCAACCGATCCGGCAGAACAACTCAAAAGATAAAGAAGTATTGTAAATTTCTTCATGTTTCTTCCAAGTTCGAAGTACCATTTGTACAAATAGGAATCCGCCTCATTACATAATTCCTTCTTCAGATAGATAGATATAGGATCTACGGGACAATTACTTAGCAGTAAATTTTGTGCTACAGCCCTTCCTATCTGATATAAAAGGATCCCATGATCCTGAACCAAATTTAACTGTGATTGCAAATCCCAAGTTTGTCTATGAAGAGCGGCTCTAATTGTATTATTGTCTATAATGGATTTTTTCTGTGTAATACTTATTGATAGAACCTCATTGGTAAGTGCTAGAATATCTCCTATATTGGGACCCATGGTTATGGACCCGAATCCATTAGTACGGAACAGTTTCTTGTCCAAGTCAAATCCCCTATTAGATGAAAGAGTAAAAAAGTACTTTCTTTTTTGTGGATTAACAAGCCTTCGTAATTTAATACACGTATTCAACCTTTTCGGAGCTATTAGAGCGGGATCCACTTTTTGAGGAATATGAGTAGAAGCAATAACAAGAATATTTCTAGGAGAACTTCTTGCACAATCCCTTTGAAAGATGGTTAACTAATAGACCAAGAGATAAGGAATTTGACTCATTCACATCCAGATCATGAATATTTGGAATCCAGATTATGCAAGGAGACATAGCTCTTGCTAATTCAAATTGAAGGGTGATAGATAATCGATCTATTTCAGCCTTCATCTCCCTATCCATAGTTAGCGCATTCATCCTAGTTAGGATTTCCAGCTCCGTAGTAAGGTCACAATTCATATCGTCATCAATACTGTCGCTCTTAGTTATATTGATATCGTCACTAGCATTAATATTGATACTATTATCAATAAAGAAATCAGCCATAAATTTACGACTCTTATCTCGCAACTTGTTCACAAATACCGTAATGAAAGGCATATAGGAGTTTGTTGCTAGGTATTTGACCAAATAAGATGGTCCAGTTCCTATAGAACCGATAACTAAAGTACCCCTAGAGGGGGATAAGTCTAAGCGGAGCGAAAAAGGCTTTCCACGACATGCTAAATGAGCATACGAAGTTTGTGGGTAAGTCATTGTCTGAGAATGAGCAAGGAATATGCGTCTTTCTGCTAAAAAAGATCTATTAAACTCATAGTTCATTAGATCCTTTTGATGAATGTCAATTAAGTATCGTAAATAAATTGCTCCCGGTTGGTCAATCATTGGATAACCTAAGTCATTCTTTAATAAATGATCCCTGTCAGTCAGACTCGATGGAATTCTTTTTTCTGTTGTTAAAGTGGCTAGCTGAACCAAAAAATTGTCTTTCTTCCTCATGAATAGAATCGCTGTTTACGATCCAGGATTCTATTTGATCATCAATCCAATTTGCCTTCACGTTTTCTCTTTTTCTTATCAATGAATAGAGCTCTTTACTTTTAGGACTGATAGAACTGATATATTGCATATTTCTATTTATAGAAACAACAATTCCAGTTATATGTTCAAGGATATTGAAAGATTTATTCGTCAAACGTCTTGGTTTCACTTTCAAAGTAAGATGAATCTTGTTGAGACCGAAAACAAAAACCTTGGATTCCTTCTAACAAACGTACGAATTGGTTAAAGCCAAATATAAATATATTATTTAACCAAAACTCATTTGATTGACACATAGGATATTTATCTACAAGTTTTTGAAACTCAATTAGATATGAGGGAATTAGAAAAGGTTTTAATTTTTTAAATTTGATATCTAACTCTCTCAAAGCTCGAGAAACAAAGACAAGATTGATAAGAACGAGATAACTAACACCAATAAGAAGGAAAGGAATTGAAACGAAAAAAGCCCAACCACTTGGTGATCCACTTGGTGATCTAAAATATGTTGATGTTTTAGTATTTCGTTGCAACCTTTCGCTCGCCAGAAGACGATTATGTAACCACTTACTAACCACTTACTTGAGATTTCACTTGTTATAAAAAAGGGCAACAATTTCATCTTAACAATTTGCCATAATAAATCCAAAATTTCCCAATAAATAGATATCCTACTATTTAATATTGAAACTATATCTATCAATAGAGAATTGAGATATTTGTACCCTGTCAAAGTGAAGAAGTTTGGCAAATTGATTTGGAAAAGATTTAATTTTTCTGATAGAATGGAAAAAAAATTCTCTCTATGAAAAGTTGTTGCCATCCGTCTTTTCTGAAACGCAGCGCCTTTTTTTTCGATTTTTTTTGTTTTGAAATGAAAAATATTTATCAGAACAGGGAATGTCAACCAAATCCATATTTAAATTAAAATTAGGATATTCATGAAAGTGATTTTCTTCTGAATCATATATATTTCTATTTATATCTGAAAACGGTTGACAATAAGTTGTTTCCAAATTGACTATTTCTTCCTCTGTAGAAGAGGTTCCAAAAGTCTTGAGAATCAAATTAGGCATGACTGGATCGGATTGCCTTACAGAATTAAAAGAATTCTCAAAGTTATACCGTGGATCACTGTTTTTGACAAAATCCTTAAATAAGGAATCAATTAGTGAAATAGTAGCTCTATCCCCAACCCCAAAAACCTTTCTTTTTTTCCCACCACCTAAAGAAACTTTTTGATTCCCAAGGAACAATCTATTTAGAAATTGCTCATAGAGAAAATACGAATTAGTATTCCGAGCCCTTTCGATAGAAAATGGAAATCTTCTCTTACAATCTAACCAGAAGTTAGAGTTAGGTCGAATATTAAAGAAACAAAGTCTATTTGCTTTATAAAAAGCGGATATCAGTGAACTTCTTTGAAATAGGTTCATGGGATGAAACCCATTACCCTTTTCATCAAAATATTTTTGTCTAGTAAGCAATGCATCAATCCGCCCTTTTGCTATATTATTAAACAAAAAGGGTGATCTCTTTGTTTCATTGATAACAAAGTTCGACGTACCAGACTCTTCCAACAAAAAGGGGTTTAATTTTTTTAAATAAATAATTTTAAAACCTATGGATTCCAACAACTGATTACAAAGTTGACCGTTCGGTCCTTTTAATTCATAGATATAGATTTCGGACCTCTGAACAGGACTAGTACCAAAACTTACAAAGGAAAAACCAAGTGAATTAGACAAAAACAAAAGCAACTTGATCATACAGTGAAATCCCTTCGTAAAAAAAAAAACGAAGTGACTGGGGCAAAAAGAAGAAACGTACTGATTTCGACAACTTGGTAAAAACTAAAGGAATTAACTTATACACATTTTTTTTTACTTTGATTTCTACTTCCCTGCGAACCTTAGACCAATAAATCCATTTCTCAGTTATTTTATCAATAATATAAATAGAGAATTGATAAACTTTCTCAAACATCATTTGCAAATAGCCCTTTCGGACTTGAACATACATTTTAAAAAGTCTTTTCTGCTCATCAAGAAAATGTTTTGAATTTTCTTGTAAACTCTTTGTCCCATTTGACCATTTGGATTTATATGGTTGACCCGTTTTTATTTTAAATGTCATATGAGTTAGATGATTGAGAAGACCCATTTCTTTTTGATCCCCTTGAATTCTCCTAATTCGATATTTGAAATTGCAATTGGATATATTTATGAAAACAAATTGATTCAATAGATTTCTTATGTACACATAGGTATTAGATTGCATTTGAATCAGATTGTGAATCAATATAGATATACATTGATTCACTGCTTCAATCCAGACGTAGTTTTGTCCCGTTCGTTGAAAAAAATAGTTCTTCTCCTTATAACGAAAAAAAATAGGCGAAAGAACCAACAAAGATTGATTTTTCGAGTCAGTCCTAGTATTTAATATTTGATTCAATAATTTGATTTTATGCAATCCATATGAATCTATATTCACAAAAAAAGTAAAGCCCTTATTATAGACTGGATCCGGCTCGCTTATTGTCAGAATAAATAAACCTGGACTTTTTTGTAATTTTTCTTTTGATTTCCAATCATGTTGTAGCACATAGCTTCCTTGTTTACTTTCAAGAAATCGGTTAACAAAATAAAATAATGGAGTTTTTTTAAGAAATCCAGTATTCTTCGAATTTTTTATTTGGGGATCAAAAGAAATAGACTTAATTAAAACAGTTCTTTTTAAATACATAAGTATTCTAAATAGATTAACTATTTCTTTTTTTTCCGCTTGCCGGACAAAAGAAAGAGATTTATTCCTAAATTTCGGATCCATAGTGGACTTAGCAATAGGAGTTGATCCCATATAAAGTTCTGACCATCTATCAGAGTAAAATGAAGAAAGGGACCTCGGGGCATTGCCCCGAGATTGTTCCCTTTCTTTCGGAAACGGAAGGCTTAGCGTTGGTTTACGGCCTTTGATCTCTTTTTGTTCCGTTTTAAAAAGGTAAGGATCCCAAGAAGTTGATCTTTGTTTTCGTTGTTTAATTTCTCTTTGATTGATTAATTTAGAATATTCCGAATCCTCATTTCTAATAGAATCCAAAAAATTTCTATCCAAGGATCCTTTCGGTTGGCCGAAATCTTTTACTTGTAAGGAACTAGATCTTGTGGAATTATAAGGAAACTCAAGCGATTTTTTCTCTTTTAAGAATACCAGATTGAAACCAAGAAGTTTCATTGGAATTTCTCTAAATTCCGTTCTAGTTCGTCTAATAATTTCTCTAATAAAGTTTTTCCCCTGCGGCGAATCTGACTTTGATTGAGGCATGTTAGGGTTTTTTTTTATTGGTAAAACCCGAGTATTATAGTTTGGATTCATTAAATCAATATCAACTTGATTTTTGCCTTTTGGAAAAGAAAGGAGTAAAATACTTAATCGATTTAGAGTAGAATAACCACTATCTTGATCAGTTATGGATTCACTGCAATTCATCGGTATAGGAAAAAGTCTTTTTAAATAGAGATTCTTTCTTTCAACCATATTTTGATTGCTAATACGATATATAAATATAACAACGCCAACGAAAACTAGTAAAACTCCCTTAATCTTGATTGATCTATTTCTTTTTGAACCTTGCAAATTAGGTGAAAGTATAAGACTCCAAATTTGTGGGTCAAACAGTTTTAAAAATCGTTCTTGGGAGACTAAAATATGAATTGAAAATCCGATTGCATTCAATTGGGTCCATGAATCTAAAAAATATTTTGATTTTTTAATCTCTCTCAGTATCTCTCGTAACTCGAAAATCCAGAACTTTTCTGGCTTAGGATTCATTTCATACCTCCCTAAAATTTTGTATAAAGTATTAAAAAGTATTAATACTTTTATTATTGTATTCTATATTGTATATCTATTATATCATATTATTATTATATATAAATATAATATTATATAATTAAATATTAAATATAGAAGATAAAAGAAATATAGAAGATAAAAGAAATCTAGTTTTTGTTTAGTATTTCAGATTTCATAAATTCTTTATCTAAACGACATTTTTTGCTGTAATTCAATGTAATTAAATATTCCAAGATTAAAAATTGCCATAATTATTCTATTTTAATTTTCAATTTTGATAGATGATGGTCTCGTTTAAGCATCCATAGCTAAGTGGTTAAAGCGCCCAACTCATAATTGGCGAAGTCGTAGGTTCAATTCCTACTGGATGCACATTATTAGTCATTTACACAAAACAAAATATTATTGACCCTCCAATTCTTCTTTTTGTGATATTTTAGGCTATATGATATATATTAACATAGATCTACTTTGAGCATTTCCTTCATAATCCATATCAAATATCATATAAGATATATATGCTCCTAGATAAATTTGTCCATATCAAATCAATCAAATATCATATAAGATATATGTTCCTAGATAGATTTTATTTTGACTATTTCCATTTCATATATCATTTTCATATATCATAATAGATAATTCTAGGATACCAATACATATAGAGAATATATATCTATATTAGATATATATATATATCTATATATATATATAGGAACACTTAATATAGGAACACTTATTCACAAAAACATTCTTTACTCGAACTAACTAGTTTCAACTTAAACTAATACTCAAATTCGGGATGGAATAAAAGATATAGTATTTACAGAAAAACGGATTTAGTTATTAAAATATTAAAAAATAATAAATAGTTTTTTTATGTCCACGTCATAAACTTTGAGTAGTGCTACGCTTCTGGCAAAGGGTCACATAATGGTAGGCCCTCCCTATTAGAGGACATATAATGCAATGGCTACCGCAGAGAATTAGACGTATGCCTCCAAACAAATAAACTTTCAATCCAAAATAAAAATCATTAATATCATGGGAATAAAATTATACAAAACTGATAACCCGAGCGAAACCGTAAACAGCCCAAAATTTGCTCGAAGGAAAAATTTGCTCTCTGGAAAGCATCATTGTGGTAAAGGTCGTAATGCTAGAGGAATCATTACATCAAGGCATAGGGGGGGGGGTCATAAGCGCCTATACCGTAAAATAGACTTTCGACGGAATGAAAAAGACCTATATGGTAGAATCATAAACCATAGAATATGACCCTAATAGAAATGCAAACATTTGTCTAATACATTATCGGACTGGTGAGAAGAAGTATATTTTACATCCGAGAGGGGCTCAAATTGGAGATACGATTGTTTCTGGTACAGATGTTTCAATCAAAATTGGAAATACCCTACCTTTGACCGAAATCCCCTTAGGCACGACTATACATAACCTAGAAATCACACGTGGAAGGGGTGGACAATTAGCTCGAGCAGCGGGTGCAATGGCGAAACTGATTGCAAAAGAGGGTAAATCAGCCACATTAAAATTACCTTCTGGCGAGGTCCGTTTTATATCCCAAAATTGCTCCGCAACAATCGGACAAGTCGGAAATGTTGGGTTCAACCAAAAAAATTTGGGTAGAGCTGGAGCTAAACGATGGCTAGGTAAGCGTCCTGTAGTTAGAGGAGTAGCTATGAACCCCGTAGACCATCCACATGGGGGCGGTGAGGGTAGAGCCCCTATTGGGAGAAAAAAAACCTACAACCCCTTGGGGTTATCCCGCACTTGGAAGAAAAACTAGAAAGAGGAATAAATATAGTGAGAAGCTCATTCTTCGTCATCGCAGTTAATATAATATATTATAGTATCAAAATTAATAGAATAGAGCAAATTAAATTTCTTCATTCAATTATATGAAAAATAAAAAAATAAAAGAATAATAAAATTTATAGGAGTAAACTGTGGCACGTTCACTAAAAAAAAATCCCTTTGTATCTCAGAATTTATTAAAAAAAATTGAGAAACTTAACATAAAGGGAGAAAAAGAAATAATAATAACTTGGTCCCGGGGATCTACTATTATTCCAATAATGATTGGTCATACTATTGCGATTCATAATGGGAAAGAGCATCTCCCTATTTATATAATGGATCATATGGTCGGACACAAATTGGGAGAATTTGCAACTACTTTAAATTTTCGAGGACATGCAAAAAATGATAATAGATCTCATCGGTAATGTGAATACTAAAAAATATCTTGATGCTTATGAGTCATTAGTAGGAGGCAAACTTTATGTACCAGATGCTAAATAAAAAAACCCCAGAAGTATACGTTTTAGGTCGACGTATAGCTATGTCGGCTAATAAAGCAAGAAGAGTTATTTATCAAATTCGTGGGCGTTCCTATGAGGAAACACTTATTATATTAGAACTCATGCCCTATCGTGCCAGTTATCAAATTTTAAAATTGGTTTATTCAGCCGCATCAAATGCTAGTTACACTATGGCTGCAAATAAAGCAAATTTAGTTATTAGTAAAGCTGAAGTGAATGAGGGGACTGCTCGAAAAAAAATTAAAACCTCGGGCTCGTGGGCGTAGTTATCCAATAAAAAGACCGACCTGCCATATCAGTATTGTACTAAAAGATATTTCATTCAATGATTCTGAATCTGTGGAGCTCGGTTTGCTAAAAAAACCACAAGCGAAAAAAAATTCTAGAACTAAAGCATATTCTGATATCCAGAATAGGAGGTATTTATGGGACAAAAAATAAATCCACTTGGTTTCAGACTTGGTACAAACCAGGCCCATTATTCACTTTGGTTTTCAAAACCAAAAACGTATGCTGAAAATCTGCAAGAAGATCAAAAGATAAGAGCTTTTATCAAAAATTATGTACAAAAAAATAGAATCAAACCCTCGGCTACCGAGGGAATTGCAAGTATATATATTAAAAAAAGACTCGATCTAATCCAAGTCATAATATATATGGGATTTCCAAAAATATTTATGGAAAATAGCCCACAGGGAGTTGAAGAATTACAAAAAGCTCTACAAAAAAAATTAAATTTTGTAAACCGAAAACTGAATATTGCTATCACAAAAATTGAAAAACCGTATGGAAATCCTAATATTCTTGCCGAATTTATAGCTGGACAATTAAAGAATAGAGTTTCCTTTCGAAAAGCAATGAAAAAAGCTATTGAATTAGCTGAACAAGCAGATACAAAAGGAATTCAAGTACAAATTGCGGGACGCCTTGACGGAAAGGAAATTGCACGTGTGGAATGGATAAGAGAAGGAAGAGTTCCCCGACAAACTATTCAAGCTAAAATGGATTATTGTTGTTATTCAGTTCGAACTATCTACGGGGTTTTAGGCATAAAAATTTGGATATTTTTTGATGAAGCTCAATAAAATTTTATTCATTCTTTTTACCTGTAATACCAAGCGGCCCATTTCACAAATTATTTTGTGTAATGAGCAGGAACAGTTCTAATTGATTTCTAATTGATAATAATGAATTCTATAAGGTTGAATAAAAATTTTATTTATTTTTTAATAAAAATATCATTGCTATGCTTAGTGTGCGACTCGTTCATTTTTTAAGGTTAGCATGAAACCAAACCCAAAGTAACAACTACTCACTCGAGAAGAAATTACCTAATAACTAACTCATCAATTTCGCATTATCTGGATCTAAATAACCAGTCATGATATGATTAGCGCTCATATCGTTGTAGCAATTGCCATTTATTTGCATAAACAAAAATTATTCAAATATTATTGAAGTTGCCAAGCAAGATATAAAAAAGATGTAGATAATTGGAAGGGAGAGAGAAAGGAAGAAAAATAAGCTCAATGATTGAAAATTCCAATATGTAGGGTCTAACAAAATAGGCAATGTAATGAAGCATTAATACTTAAATTCTGCATATTCAAGTATTTGAAATAGAATAAAAAATCTAAGAATATTCAATAATAAAAAACAATATACTCTTATTATAGAAATTAAATTATAGAATAGATAATTATTAGATAAATTTAAAGTAAAGAGCTTAAAGCCAATAAAGACTAAGAAAAATGGCTCAAGACTCAAATTATTCATATATTACTATTTGAGCTCCATTGTAAAATTAGGACCTAACCATTAAGTAAGAAGTGATGGGGACGACGGAACTTATGAATAAAAAAGATTCAATTTAAGATTAAATAAAAAAAATCTTAAATATTCACTGGCTGGGATGGCGAAATAAACCAATGTTAAATTATTTGATTTCTAGATAGTAGCTAGAAGATGTAACAGGCTCGTCCTAGAAATGAAATCTAAATTGACAGAGTCAATATTCGCCCGCGAAAACTTTTTGCAAAAGAATCAAAAAGCAATATAAAGACAATATTCAAGAATAGTCAAAAAGAAGGATTAGTTAGACTCAGAGAATCATGAAAAAAGTGTAGAATAAGTCATTTTATTTCAAATAGATTGAAAAAAAAATATCACTCAATTCCTAAATATTATTTGGACTTCTCAGTCCATATTATTATTATAGATCTTATTATCTATATTTAGATTTGTAGTATTTATCTTAGTATCTATCTTTAGATTGAAGATTTAGATATCTTCACTATGATTAATCAATTTTAGTCAAAAGCTCATTTTGTAAATCCTTTATTCGTAATTCGCGAGGAGCTGGATGAGAAGAAACTCTCACGTCCGGTTCTGTAGTAGAGATGTAATAAATAAAAATCCATCAACTATAACCCCAAAAGAACCAGATTCCGTAAACAACATAGAGGAAGAATGAAGGGAATAGCTTCTCGAGGTAATCATATCTGTTTCGGTAAATATGCGCTTCAAGCACTTGAACCCGCTTGGATCACATCTAGACAAATAGAAGCCGGCCGACGGGCAATGACACGAAATGCACGTCGTGGAGGAAAAATATGGGTACGTATATTTCCTGATAAACCAGTTACTGTACGACCCGCAGAAACACGTATGGGTTCAGGAAAAGGATCCCCTGAATATTGGGTTGCTGTTGTTAAACCCGGTCGGATCCTTTTTGAAATGGGTGGAGTAACAAAAAATATTGCCAGAAAAGCTATTTCAATAGCAGCATCGAAAATGCCGATACGAACTCAATTCATTATTTCGGAGATAGAATAGAAAATATCACTCTAAAACTACCCCAAAGAATCTTAAGAATGAAACAAAAACAAAAAAATAAGTTTCGTTTTATGTTTGTGGACAAAAAATATTTCTTTTTTTCTTCGCCCTTTGCATTGTGAAAGAAAAGAATAAAAAAAAATGCTATGATTCAATCCCAAACCCTTTTAAATGTAGCAGATAACAGCGGGGCTCGAAAATTGATGTGTATTCGAATAATAGGAGCTAGCAATCGTCGATATGCTTATATTGGTGACATTATTGTTGCTGTTATCAAAGAAGCTGTACCTAATATGCCTCTACAAAGATCTGAAGTCGTTAGAGCCGTAATCGTGCGTACCTGTAAAGAACTAAAACGCGGCAACGGGATAATAATACGATATGATGATAATGCCGCAGTTGTTATTGATAAAGAAGGAAATCCAAAAGGGACCAGAATTTTTGGTCCAATCCCCCGGGAGTTGAGACAATTAAATTTTACTAAAATAGTTTCATTAGCTCCTGAGGTATTATAAAAAAAATTCAAAAAAAAAAATGGAGTAGAATCTGTCTCACGTATATAATTTTAAGATTAAAATTAAAGTAAGATAAACACAATAATCCATAGACAATAAAAAAAACACGTTGAGAATATAAAATTTTTGAGTCCCATAATTAGAGTTTATCATGGGTAGGGACACTATTGCTGAGATAATAACTTCTATACGGAATGCTGATATGGATCGAAAAAGAATGGTTCGAATCCCATCCAGTAATATTAACGAAAAGATTGTAAAACTCCTTTTAAAAGAAGGTTTTATTGAAAGTGTGAGAAAACATCGAGAAAACAACAAGAATTTTTTAGTTTTAACTCTGCAACATATCAAGACTAAAAAAAGGACCTTTAGCAATATTCTAAATTTAAAACGGATAAGTCGACCCGGTCTACGAATGTATTCTACGTCTAAAAAAATACCTAAAATTTTAGGCGGGATGGGGGTTGTAATTCTTTCTACTTCACGTGGTATAATGACAGACCGAGAAGCCCGACTGCAAAGAATCGGGGGGGAAATTTTGTGTTATATATGGTAATATTTTAAAGATCACAATAAAGAACAAAAATCACTTTCTTTTTTTTTTTTTAAGTTCTGTTTGTGAAAATAGGCTAAATCCTTTTTTAGTTTACTTCAGAACAAGTCGATGAATCTTTTGCAACACAACAATGATTCAAAGGAGTCGTTTCTCAACTTAGCTATTCATTTAGCAAGAATAACAAAATTATAAATTTAAAATAGAAAAAAATGAATGTATTTATTAGAATCTTCCAATAAAACCGAAACTCTAAAGTAAATTTAAAAGAAATGTAAGGAGTCTTTATATGAAAATAAGAGCTTCTGTTCGTAAAATTTGTGACAGATGTCGATTAATACGGAGAAGGGGACGACTTATAGTAATATGTTCCAATCCCAGACATAAACAACGACAGGGATAATAAGACTTCGCAACTTAACTTAGTAACTAAACCAATTCTATAAATGAAAGAATTGTGAAATGGATATATCCATATAGTGTATCGCTGACTCAGATTTAAAAAATGCTTAATGGTAAAATATATATCGAAAATTAGTTCGCGTAGAAAGGGCGGACGTAGTGGTTCACGTCAGAATGCACGTAGAATACCAAAAGGAGTAATTCATGTTCAAGCCAGTTTCCATAATACCATAGTGACTATTACAGATGTACAGGGACGGGTAGTTTCTTGGTCCTCTGCCGGTACTTCTGGATTCAAAGGAACCAGAAGAGGAACACCTTTTGCTGCTCAAACCGCGGTAATAAATGCTCTTCGTAAAGTAATGAATCGAGGTATGCTACGAGCTGAAGTATTTATAAAAGGTCCCGGTCTCGGAAGAGATGCAGCATTACGAGCTATTCATAGAAGCGGTCTACTATTAACTTTTATAAGGGATATAACCCCTATGCCACACAATGGCTGTAGACCCCCCAAAAAACGACGTGTGTAGAAATCAAAAGTGAACCTATATCAAGAGAAATAGAAGATTCACTAATATACTAAATCAAAATTTTTATGGTTCGAGAGAAAGTAGCAGTATCTACTCGGACACTACAGTGGAAATGTGTTGAATCAAGAATAGACAGTAAACGCCTTTTTTATGGCCGCTTTATCCTATCTCCACTTATAAAAGGTCAAGCCGATACAATAGGAATTGCGATGCGAAGAGCTTTACTGGGAGAAATAGAAGGGACATGTATCACACGTGTAAAATCTGAGAAAGCCTCGCATGAGTATTCTACCATAGGCGGGATTCAAGAATCGATACATGAGATTTTAATGAATTTGAAAGAAATTGTATTGAGGAGCAATCAATATGGAACTTGTGATGCGTCTATTTGTATCAAGGGACCTCGACATGTAACTGCCCAAGATATAATATTACCCCCTCATGTACAAATCGTTGATAACACACACAACATATAGCTTGGTTGACAGAACCTATTGATTTTTTTATTGGATTAAAAATAGAGAGAAATCGCGGATATTTCAACAAAGCGGACCTTCACTTTGACGATGGAATTTATCCTATAGATGCTCTATTCATGCCGGTTCAAAATGCGAATCATAGTATTCATTCTTATGGGAATGAAAAACAAGAGATACTTTTTTTGGAAATATGGACAAATGGGAGTTTAACACCAAAAGAAGCACTTCATGAAGCCGCCCGAATCTTGATTGATTTCTTTATTCCTTTTTTCCATATGGAAGAAGAAAGCTTATATTTAGCGGATGCGGAACACAAAATTCCCCTATCCTCCCTTATCTTTTATAATAAAGTGACTAAACTTATAAAAAAAAAAAAGAAACTTTCATTGAAATTAATTTTTATTGACCAATTAGAATTCCCTCCCAAGATATATAATTGCTTGAAAAAGTCAAATATATTTACATTATTTGATCTTTTTAATCACAAACAAGAATATCTTTTAAAAATAGAACATTTTCAACTAGAAGATATAAAAAACATATTGGGGATTCTAGGAAAATATTTTGTACTTTATTTATAAGAAACTTCGGTTTAATTAATAAATTAATAAAAAAACTTTTTATAAAATATTTTTTAGTCTAGAATTTGATCATTTTATTTTCATCACTATGAATTAAGAGTTTCATATTCAAAATACGAAATATTAAAAAATATCAAAAAGGAATCGAAAAATTCATGAATATGAATTTAGGTGTATCTAGGAAGAACTTTGAAGAAACGCTTCCCTAGATACACAAGCTTTGGTTTTTTAAAATTGAATTAAAACTCCACAAAACAAATTTAAAAAAGACCTAAAGTGAGAGATTTCTCAATAGGTAATGTTGCACCAATGCCCAACCAAAAGGTCACTCCGGTACCAATCAAAAACACAGTGGTTGCTACTGGACGACGAAATGGGTTTTGGAATTTATTAACATTCTCTAAAAAAGGGATTGTTAATAATCCCGTAGGTACTGAAACCATTAAAAGAACACCTAATATTTTATTAGGCACGGTACGAAGTATTTGAAATACAGGAAAAAAATACCATTCAGGTAATATTTCTAACGGGGTTGCAAAGGGATTTGCGGGTTCACCAATCATTGATGGTTCTAGAACTGCTAAACCTACATTACATGCAATAGTACCAAGAATAACTACTGGAAAAATATATAAAAGATCATTGGGCCATGCGGGTTCCCCGTAATAATTATGACCCATACCTTTTGCCAATTTAGCTCTTAATACAGGATCATTCAAGTCAGGTTTTTTTATTATTGGGATAGGTGAAGTCTTAGAGATCCATCCCCCGAGGGAACCGGACATGATAATTTTTAATCATCCAGCTCGAGCAAGACTCAAACAAATAATTAACAAAGAATCTATAATTAATGAAGAAATACATTTCTATAAGAGTATTTATATTCATTTATACAGAAAATATAATCTTTGAGATAGGAATAGTTCAATGTAAAAGAAAAAATTTGTTTTTCTCAAGTGAACCTTCTCTAGTCAAAAAATTACATTTTTTTATTATTTGCTTATGCCTGACTACTCAAGACCCAAGTAGGCTTCATTTTCTGATAGGATCAAGTGCTTTTTGGGTCGTCTCCAACCTTAGAATGCGTATTGATCTGAAACTATTTTCAAAAAATTTTCATATTTTCAGATATGCAAAAAGGTTTACTTGTTACTAAAAAAAAGTCCAGTTTCTTTTCTTTTTCTTCGTTAGATCTCTTGTTTCACTCCGATAGTATTATCGAAATCGGGCCAATGGAGAGGAAATAACTCCATTTACAGATTATATATTAGCGTTTAAAACGCTAAATAAAAATAAAAAGTTTCTAGGATCTTTTTAGATTCAATATTGGATTTTACGGAGCCTACTTATGTATAACATGATTTTTATATGATCATAGAAAAAATTATCTTTAAGGGAACCAGCTTATCCCTCACATAAGGCTTATGCGCCAATTGGAACAAAGACACATTTGGGTGATGATAATTCAAATGTGGTAGGCTTATATCTACATAGACCAATCAATAGTTCAGGTCGCACACTCCCATAATCCATTTTATCGTAAAATTGATCTTCAACTTCAAAGAATTCCCCTCGCCTATTTGTGTATTCATGTAAAACAAAGAATATAGGAAGGGTGAAGATAAATATCCAAAACCATGTCTTATTATTTTAAAGAATGGATTTTTTTGTAGCAATGAAATACTAGTACCCCTCCTCCAAGTGATAAATAACATATAACACAAATTTGATTATTTAGGATCTATTTTTATTTTGATTTATAAAGGACCAGAAATACCCTGTTTACGTATCATTGAAAAGTGCATTAACATAAATACGGTAGTAATAAGAGGCAAGACAAAAGTGTGTAAACTATAAAAACGAGTCAAGGTGGATTGACCCACACTAGCGCTTCCGCGTAAAAATTCTACTAAAGGTGATCCTATTACAGGAATAGCTTCGGGTACGCCTGTTACAATTTTCACTGCCCAATAACCTATTTGGTCCCGAGGTAACGAATAACCAGTTACGCCAAAAGATGTTGTCAATACAGCTAAAATTACACCTGTAACCCAAGTTAATTCACGAGGTTTTTTAAACCCACCTGTCAGATACACACGAAAT